GAGTCGATTTAATGCAACGTTGCATTAATTCTTTCGGACTTTTTAATTTAATATTGTAATGTAAATACGTTTTTAAAATAATTATTATATGGGATTTTCCCTGAGGGCTGATATTTAGTATTATTGAGAGAAATGCATTATTTATTTTTAGAGAAATGTGGTGTGATATAGTGCCTTTAAGCTGAACGTGTTTCGGAACAATCTTTTCGCCTTTTTTCTTATTACGCGATTTGGGAATCGAACTTCAGATCTTCCTCTCCCCGGTCTGTTGCTCTATCGGCTAAACCACAGAGACATAGGAGCTGTAGCTTTAGCAATAACATATTTCTGAATCAACACCGGTTTGCTATCACTGTGCCGACATCAACACTTTAAATGCGAAAGAATATTGGTATTCTCATCATGGCGGCATCAATGAAGCTCAGGTGCGCCCCCTGGTAGGCAATACTATCAGGGGAGATAATAAAATCATGTGCGGTTATGGATAACGGAAATGCAATGTGATTCATACTTGAAGTTGATAACACCGTCGATGACACTGTTGGGATTCTGATAAACCATGTTGGAACAGTTCCAATGTGGCACGAGCAATGGTTGCAAGCTGTTTGAAAGTGATGCGTCATGTGACGGTGTGATTAACGACCTGTGTTGATAACGTCACAGGTAACTCTGTTGTGGTATATAGAGCGTCATATATGTTATCTACATGATAGCACCTGTCTTTAAGATTCATGCCCAGGCGTTCCTGGGTGTTGCGTCCACTCTGTAGTTTACATATCATTCCCTGTGTCTAAACCATATTTACAGTTATTCGGAGATAAACCCACGTACAAGCCCACGCCAACACCCACGGTGTTGGTCCCAGTTCCGAAAGGACTTAGGCTGCCTTTCCTACATGCTAAACTAACGTAATAACATTACTACAACATGCTTGTATGGGTGATACCGTCTTTTGTTTCATTTATCATTGTAATATATTTTTCCCTGCAATCTGAAGGGTTAGCTACACAGCGTCCTCTCCCACCCCGTCACACACGCACTCACACACATACACGTATACTCACTCGCACATTAACGCATACACGCACACGTACGTGCACGCACACGCAGACTCCTCCACGCACACACTGTATAATTTTATGTATGCCAAACAGGAAGATAACTTCTCTTACAAGTTCCTATATTTTAAGACACGTCCCTTCGATTCTCTGGCAATGTGAATGACGATATCAATATGTATACGTCATAATTATCTTTACATTGTCTCTCCTGGTCTGCCTCACAGTATATTTTATTCCCTTGTAAAGATTCAGGGCGGAATCTCCCGTCTAACATAGGGAGTTGTTTCTTTATATCAGTATATATTTTCAGAGAGTAAGTGTGAGTGAAAATCCGGGTAAGAAAACTTTTCAGAAGCCCTGCCTCTCGTAAGAGGCGACTAACGGCACGTAAAACTCGCTTACTAGGTTGCGGGAAATCGATGCTCATTATATAACTCACTGGATTGTCTGGGTTATTTACACACCGGGTTATATCTGGGATGTTGTTAAATGCAGAATAAAGAAACAAGTTAGTCTAAAGAACTGAAACAAAGCAACAAACATACAGTCAAATCCCGATGAGTCTATGTTTTGTTGGTTTGTTGTTAGACGCCGCTCTCAACAATGTGTCAGCTATGTTACGGCGGTCTTAAAACAATCGAATCTGGACCAGACACTCCAGTGATTGGAATACGATGATATGCATCAACCAAGTTAGTAAGTCGAGTAACTGCATGTGTTACTGAAGACAAATTCTAATCCGGATCTTTACGGGTAGAAACATAGATGAAATATATAAGGGAATATGATACCGTTAGCTATGCGTTATAAAACACATCAGTATAAACACAGTGTAGAAATACAGACTCACCGTCACTATATATACTCATGGAACAAACATGGGAAAACATGAAAGTGTTCCTTTATTTATTGATTGTCACCCATAGTGCAATATAAAACGTGACAAGAAACCCGGAAAAGGGTATAGGTATACTTTCGTGTGTTCCTTTATTCTTTTCATGAGTATATAAGAAAGAACAGATGAGTAAAGGAGAAGATGAGCTCACGTGTGATTGTAGCTTAAACCAACTAGTTATGTATGTGCTACGGACATCACAGCTGTGTTCAGGGCTCGCTTACACAAAGCGATCTTAACGTTACGATGATCGTAACCCCCATACTCTAACATAGACTTAAGACGGTCTTACCGCTGAGATCGCTTTGTGCAAGTGTGCCCTAGACCTAGCCTTGCTCCCAGGCTGTACCGAATGCTAAGCCCATGGATGAAAAGTATATTCGTTCCTTAAAGAGGCAAGTCTATATACGGGGACAGTACAAATGAAGCCAGCCTGTTATTTATATTTTTTTAGAAATTATCATTTAAACTATCAATTATTACCATAGAGACTTGTGCAAGTCTACCCTGTACCTTTAGTAAGCAGTGTTCCAGGACCTGTTTACAGCCCAATAACGTTTTGATAACGCTTGTACTTTTTTTGTTCAAATCCAATTTTCAAGTGTATACTTTGTTTTGCACTACAGTTTACATACATTGATAAATTTGGTTCGAGATAAGAGATTAATATGAGTGTAAGTGGCAAGATAACTGTAAAAACAGGGCGTCGAAAAACATATCTACAATTATATACGTTTAGTTGGAGATGTTTTTATGAAAAGGGATCGGTACGGCTATATGTAGTGAGTTGGTGAGATAACAGAACTTCGATATACTCGACTTCGAGATGAAGGGATAAGGATCACAGCCTAAACAGTGGGGGCATGACAGTGGTACAAACATTTCTTTGTTAACACAAGTCCGTTATTGCTGCAGTTGGTTGTAGACACTGACAGTCTGTGTTTCAAGCACTTGATCACACCATGAACACGTAACATAATATTAACAGCTTGGCTCGGCATGATTCACTTCCACTTTACCAGCTATCTCCTTAATGTGTATACAAGAGCCGATACAGCGATACATCTTCTTTTTTACCCTTGTCATTTCTTGGGAGGGAGGGAGGGGGTGGTTGGATGTTGGGTAAGAGTAGATTTACAACGTTGTTAAGAATAGGAGGGGAGTGGAGTGTATTTAAAATACAGTGAGGTAATTCATAACGAACTCAAAGGGACTACGTATTTTTGTTCGTTATAACCGTAGTTCGATTTAAATATATGGCAGGTGGTTGAGATATAACACCCAAACAAAACAGTTCGTTGTATCCGTGAGTTCGGGGCGGTGGGGTAGCCCAGTGGTTAAAGCGTTCGCTCGTCACACCGAAGTCCCGGGTTCGATTCCCCAAATGGGTACAATGTGTGAAGCCCATTTCTGGTGTCCCCTGCCGTGATATTGCTGAAATATTGCTAAAAGTGGCGTAGAGCCAAACCCACTCACTCACTATAAGTGTCTTCGTTGCAAACGTAGCTTACTGTGTAGACGATACTGATAAAAATATATCAGGAAACACCTTTTAGCGTCAGTATTCAAGTTACTGTTATTTTACTTGAAAACGTGTAAATACTAAATGATTTAGATTATATTTGTATACGTCAAGACGATAAGTATGCTAAGTGATATGATTAATAAAACATGTATTCATGATCAAGAGAAAATGAACATATGTTCATGGTCCATAGAAACAAACATATGTTCATGGTCCATAGAAACTAAACATATGTTCATGATTCTCGGAGGGGCGGTGGGGTAGCCTAGTGGTTAAAGCGAAGGCCCGCGTTCGATTCCCAACATGGGTACAATATGTGAAGCCCATTTCTGGTGTCCCACGTCGTGATGTTGCTGGAATATAGCTATAATCGGCGTAAAACTAAAACCACTCACTCACTCATGATTCTCAGAAAGTAGACATATGTTCATGATCCACAGAATAAAACATCTTCATGATCCATAGAAATAAACAATGAGCATGATCCATAGAAATATAAAATGTTCATGATCCATAAAAATGAACATATGTTCATAATCCATAGAAGTAAACATATGTTCATGGTCCATAGAAATAACATGTGTTCATGATCCTCAGAAGATAAACACGTTCATTGTTTGTCGCTTTTGTTTAGAAGTCGGGGGCAGACTTTGATAATCTCTTCATCACCTGAATTTGAAGTCGAGGAAATAGCAAAACCATACCGTTTGTAAACATTCTGTTTGTGCCAAACTTCAGGCTTAAAACTTTTGGAAACCGAACTTTTTCATATGCAGCCCCAACCTTGTGGAATTCACTCCCATACAATCTGAAAGTTTCTGATAGTATTGCCGCATTCAAGTCAGGACTCAAAACATACCTGTTTTCAATGTATTATTAGGAACTCTATTTGGACGTGTACATATTGCTGTATAAATGTGGGAGACTCTTTTAATCTGTCATTGTTGCGCCTTGAGCATATCTGCTGACGTGGAAAAGGCGCATGAAGAAATCTGCAATATATATATATACCCATAACTTTGAAATACCTCACAGATAAGTGTATGTAATCAATGTGAATGAGTATATGTATTTGTAAGAATAGTTAGAAATCCTAACGTACACCACGGCGACCTAGAACCGGTCACCTTGTTACCGGTAGCCATTGTAAACATATTTCCGACGATGAAATATCCACAAGGTGTATACGTTCTCAAGCTGAAGACAGGAGTACGTCAAACAATGATGTACAGAGTAAACAATCAGACAACACGATGCGCCATGTGAACCTGTCTATTAATACATCAGAGCAACTGGCATTTTCGCCATGCACGTGTTTTTCATACTAAAGTAATTCCGCCGGCTAGCCCCACACGCAACTAATGATATAACGACCCCCTCTGAAGGCACATAGGGAAGACCCTCTCTCTATCTCTTGAACACGGATGAGATTTCATACCTCCTTAGATACGGACTTCCAGACCGTTGCCAAGGAGAACGGACCACAGCTTTGAGAACTACCCATCACATGAAAAAGGATTCCGAGGCTTCGCTGCGTGTTTTGTAATTTCAGTTTTTATTCGATGATAAGGACGTATGTTATGTGGGAAAACTGGTTGCTATAACATCTTTAGGGGCAGAAGTTATCGAGAAATACGATATTTCAAGGTTCCATTTTGAGCGAAAGACGTTGGAGATAAATCCGGATGACTCGATGATGCTTACGAGAGTTGGCTCATCTCACGAGATCAGACGAGACTAGCGAGGGGAGCAGACGACAATTGGCCGCTTGGGATACTGCATGAATGGTTGCTGCCGCCAGTGATGGCGAGGTACTGACCACGATGTAGAGACAGAAGGAGCCCTCAATACTCGCACCATGTATCAGCGAAGGAACTCCCTGTCGAGGGATCTGGGGTACTACAACGTAAGTGTTCATTTTGTTTTCTTTTGCCCGCTGTAGATCTACATCTGTAGGTATAGAGAACACCTTGCCTCGCTGTCAGAGGTTGTAGACATACGATTAGTGGTTATGCCCGGAAGAGGTGCTACTTCGCATCTGTGCTCCTTCCTGGAGCAGTAATTAACACAAGGCTACTATTTCTTTCATCTTCAAGTCTGTGGAATTGGAAATGTCTCAATTCATTTGGTTGATGAATAGTTTGGTCGAGGCTGGCCGAAGTGAAGGATAAAACATGTTTACTCTGATTATGGCCAAGATGTGGCTGTTATCTACGTATTGTTATTATACATGTGCCAATAGTTATTATTTAAGATTCTAGTATAAACGTACCGTGTCTTCAAACCTGATATTGACGCAAGAGCAAAATATCGAAATGTTAAAGGTTTTCATGCCGAGAAAGATGATACATTGATCAGAATCCGCACCAAAATTTAGACATTGTAATATATTTGGAATTTTTCTCTCTCCCTTCTCATGCCAGAACCCAGTTTGAGTACGTACATTTCATGCCGTATCCTGGGTAGTTTCATGACCGAGTAATTACGTATCTCTTCCGTACTCGCGTAACGAGTAATCAAAGTTCCTATCAGAAAAAAGATACTTTTTATGATATATCTTAACGCCGAATCTGCCACCCATCTTGATAAAATAGAGGTTTTATTTGAATATATCTGGAAAATGTGTAATATACAAAAAGTGACTATATAAGAACTATATACGTACTGAAAAGACTATGGAATAACGACTTTGAAGGGAAACCGAAACAGCGGGGTTCGAAATCGTACGGTAACTTTGAGTATATGTAGCAAAGACCATTGGCCAAACATTACTGGAATCTATGATGTGTTTCGTTAAGGAACGAATCATACAGGTCAGATCGATTTCCCCTTGTTCCTATTTATCCAAGCCGCTAGATACATGGGTATAAAACCTTCGTATATTTCCACAAGGTTGATATGTACTGCTAACTGATAGCGAGACATGAGCAGTTCTACCACACTTTCCTGTTACCTCATCGTCAGGAGATGTTTTTGTGTTACCGAGATTATTGTGCATGTATGCGAGATTGTGATGCACGTATGCAGCTGTGTGCGCGTGCGGGAGAGGGACGGGGCAAGGGTGGGAGGGGGGCTGTGGCTGGCTTGTCATGTTACGAGATCCCCGAACAGGAGCACCCCCACACGTGCCAGTTTGTCAGTTGCGCCACACAGCTCATCAACAGATACAGTGGAATGTGTATACAGCTAAACTTTTAATCAACATCAATATAATTCATCTGGTAGGAACAGACACGAAATGTAAAGTTCTATCTAGACATCGATGTAACACTGTGTTGTATAATGTAGCCAAATCCATGAAAAGTATAAAGCTAAAATAAAAATATTACAGTATCAGCAACAGACACAGCCACTAGTCCGTAATAGTGAACATCTAGACCGACTAGTTATTTCTCAGCATCTATTATAAGGCCACTAGTCACAGTGAGTGAGTGGGCTTCGTTTTACGCCGCTTTTAGCGGGGAACCGCACAATGGGCTTCACACGTTGTACCTCTTTCTTTGGGGAATCGAACATGGGTCTTCGGCGTGACGAGCGAACGCTTTAACCGCTAGGCTACCCAACGCCCCCACGAGTCTGAAGTGAACTGCGGACTATTTAGGTATCATTTGACTGGCTCTCCATTAATATGTGCTTTACTACCTGTGACAATGTGTTTACATTGGCAGATGTATACATCATATAATACGTCGATATCCAGATGCACATTACAATACCGCGACTCCAAGAGCGGAAGGAAAACATGTCCACACATTTTAGAAGTGTATGTAAAATGTATGTACTAACTTTGATAGATGTAAAAGTTAGTCTGTCATAGAGGCTCTGAAACAAATACACCCAATACAGCAAGTCTAGAACATGTGTTGTGTCTAAATTGCCACAGTTCAGAAAATGGATAGTCTCTGTCTCTTATATTTTATGAACAAAATCTAGTAACCGTTTTTTGGTAAAATATATTCATTTCAGAGACTAGGTGTTAGTCTAATGTTAAAGTATTCCAAGAAGATTATTAATATATTAGTCATATCACTGGGTTGTTGTATTCCAGTCGGGCCAAACACACTAGTATGATAAATCAAGCGGTTTTATCATTGACAAAACATAAAAGTAAGCTTTATCCAGTGTGTAATACGAGAAATAAGAAAGACCAATTTTGAAGAACATGTTGGTGTAAAGGTCTTTCCAAAAAATTGGTTCTGCACATTTGGTGTTGTTACGACCCCCGTGTTGATGTCGTTGTGACGATGCCAGCGGGGCCAGACCCCCATGAAGCGCTGATGACCTCAGCCCCAGTACGTATGGCGATGTCTATATCATTGCAGCAGTCTACCACATGTGGTGACCCCATCCCCTCAACCCTCCCTCCCCAAACCCTCCCGTCGCGATGTTGCAATACACACCTGATTACCGATCGACATGTATTTGTTTCAGGAATTTATCATTTATTCATGTGCCAATATAAACAGAGAACTATAGGTAGGTGGGTACGTCTTGCACAACTCCTAGCCGTATGGATCCATTTTGTTTCCATTTAGTCAGACCGTGAATCAATAGTAAAGGGTTGAGTCTAGTCTGCGTGATATATTTCGAGAGATTTCAGTGTGTGTGTGTGCGTGCGTGCGTGTGGTGATGACACCTAGCCTGGGATTATGTATCGACACTGTTTGGATTTTGTTTCAGCTACAGTCCTTTTGCAATTAAAACTATGAGTACAAGTATTTCTTTCTAAAGTGAGTGGATGAGTTTTACGCCGCGAGGGACGCCAGAAATGGGCTTCACATCTTTCTAAAGAACACCAAAATAAAAAGTCATTTTGACTTTGTACTAAAATGTTTATGAATGCAGACTTGATCTCGTCACTATCACGTAAAGCCTAACTCAACTCGAAAGAACACAAGAACTATTGTGGCCGACAATTTCGATTTTGTCAAGCAGTGTGAGACATAATGTATTTCGGGCATTTGCGGGGACACGTACATCTCCTCGTCACAACCCTCACAATATCAGGTGTTTGGCCTCTAAAGGCTATCAAAAGCTTTGGTTTGATGTTGCGAAAGTGCGTTGAGGCTGCTGTATCAGTAGGTAACAGTTACACAGCTACACAAAACCTTAGTGCTATGTTTTATACCTTGTAAATAAATGGTGGTCATAAACCACCAAACAGACACTGCACTCCTTGTGTGACAAGCAGTTAACTGTGACGTAAAAAGACAAGACCCTTTTTCATACTCAGCCTTCTTCTGCAACTGACGCGATGACATGGAGGCCCGATCTGTTGGCAGCGGGCCAGGTATCGAGTAACGAATTCTGTGCTGTTATTTGCATTAATCACTAGAGCTGTAAGGCAGATTCTGACATTTGGCTCCAGGTTTTTACCTATATGCGAATAACTGGCATTTCGTCGAGTCTAGAGTTCGTGGGGATACAGTTTACATCAGGTGGGGAGTTAACGGAGGGCGCTGTAACCAATAACAGGTGTTCAATACATTTACCTAACATACGCTCTACTCCCGTAACGTGGAGCACTGGGGCACTGTACCCTCTGTACAGGTATTTTGGGGCATGTACCCTCTGTACAGGTATTTAGGGGCATGTACCCCTGTATAGGTATTTTGGGGCACTGTACCCTCTGTACAGGTATTTTAGGGCACTGTACCCTCTTTATAGGTATTTTGGGGCACTGTATCCTCTGTACAGGTATTTTTGGGGCACTGTATCCCTCTGTACATGTACCCTCTGCATTAATGTGCCCTCTGTACCCAGGGGTATGTGCCCTCTGTATAGGTATTTTTGGGCCATCGGGCTGCCTAAAAATAGTCCAAAATGGATACCCTCTGTACCAGGTATTTTGGGGCACTGTACCCTCATTTTTGGGCCATGAAACCCTCTGTACCCCTCTGTATTTTGGGCCATGTACCCTCTGTACAGCTGTACCCTCCTTGGTATAGGTTTTGGGGCACATTACTCTGTACAGGTATTTCACTGATATTTTGGGGGCATTAATACCCCCTGTCACTGCTGTGTGAACAGAGGCAGTTCATGAACAAACTCATTTCCCAAAGGTGAGACCACATGTGTCACGTTCGCTTCGTTGTGGGGCAGGACAAGAAGTCCTAGAAACTCTCAGGAGTCAAGCTGCCAAATACGCTCACCAGTCCAAGCATTGTCCGCGACCAACGTTTTGATTTGTGACCTGGGCTCCATGACCACACACTACCAAAATGCTCCCAATAATAAATACTGCTTCTCATTATCTGGCCCACTCCGATTACATTATAACAAAACGGTTTTTAAAATGATATATTTAGGTTCACATATTTAATCGGTTTGATTGTCATTTATTAAAATCGATAAATATGCCAATAAAAACAGATAATACGCCGTGTGCTGGTTGGTTGGTTGTTGTTGTTTAAAGGAATATTCCAGCTATATGGCGGCGGTCTGTAAATAACTGAGTCTGGACCAGACAATCCAGTGATCAACAGCATGAACATCGATCTACACAAACGGGATGTCATACATGTGTCAACCAAGTCAGCGGGCCTGACCACCCGATCCTGTTAGTTGCCTCTTACGACAAGCATGGGTTACTGGAGACCAATTCACGGGATCTTTACGGGTGACGTCGGAAACCTATCAATTAAGACCATCATCTTTAAAATATCTTACCTTTACTTACATGGATTTAATTGAAACAGCGTTGCGGATTGCAACTTACCCATATGAGGGCTTTAAAAACAGTTTGTACGATCCAGATAAACCAAAACACGTGATTAGTACCGGTATTCTTATCAGCATAATGCGAGTGACAGTAGCAATCCATTCCCTATCCCAAAGTCAATTCTCCTGTACAAGTCAACCGTCCTGTACATGTCAATTCTCCTGTACAAGTAATTTCCCCCGTAC